ATATACAACTTACAATGAGGTGCCTAGGATCGGCCATGACATCCCAGCTGAGGTCTGACTGTACTTCCTTGCTATGGACACAGTTCTCTTACTAAGGTAGTTCAGTACTGTATTTATTTAAAAAATCAGTCACCACATAATGTTGGCTCATATCAAACTGTCCATAAAACCAACACCCTGAGTCTTTTTCTGTGATACCAGGAGTCTTCCATCTTCTACTTACGTGCTTTTTTTTTCTTTTGCTCTAAGTGCAGGAATTAAGTTTATATCATTATATTCCACCTTATTATTTTTATCCTATCTTTCTAGCCTGTCAAGATGCTTTTGAAGTGCTTTTTATCATCCAGCTTATTAAACCATCCCTCTCAGCTTTGTGTCATTTGCAAACTTAATAAACATTCTATTTGTGTCTTTTTTTTTTGCGGTACGCGGGCCTCTCACTGTTGTGGCCTCTCCCGCTGTGGAACACAGGCTCCGGACGCGCAGGCTCAGCGGCCATGGCTTACGGGCCCAGCTGCTCCGCGGCATGTGGGATCTTCCCGGACCGGGGCACGAACCCGTGTCCCCTGCATCGGCAGGCGGCCTCTCAACCACTGCGCCACCAGGGAAGCCCCTATTTGTGTCTTTATCCAAGGCATTGATAGAAATGTTGGAAAAACGTGAGTAATACAGAAGACCTGCTTCAGGCTTCCAATTGACTTAAAGATTCCCTTGAAAGATGATTAAATCTGTTGCTGAAAATCAGACATATAAAGTCTATGACATCACTCAGCTAGTAAATGATGGACATAACTAGGTCTGGTGATATCTCTACTTTGTGAAGCTTTGCTCACTGCTAGGGACCCTGACTTCCTTCTTGGCTTGGAGGATTCAGAAACGTGGCAACTCATTCCAAAATTCCGATGTTGGTTGGCAGTGATCACCGTTTTATTTCTAGAATATATTTCCTCTGTCCCCTTTAGAAGTCACACTTGTCGTTGACTAGGTGCCCTTCTTTCATTCTTTTTATGTGTCCTTTTTCAAGCAGTGCTCATCAAAGAGCTCCATGTGGAGTCCTATTATTTATTTAGATCCACCTCCTTTTCCTTCTTTTATGCGATCAGTTTCTGATTAGCAGCCGACTCAGCTAACCAGCATCCTGGGGGCATGGATCGCTAGGGGTTGTCAAAACCTTACTGGTTTATACTAGATATCCTTTTGAAGTTCAATCCGTCTTTCCAGGTGGATATGTACAGAGCTGGTGAGTGCATATTGGTTGTTTCTCACTGAAGTGTATGTCAGTTTCAGAGGGAAATTTTAAAGGGCTTCTCATCAGTCCTGCTCCTACTAAATGACCAAGCTCTTAAGGAACATTGGCTGCAGGAGGTGGCCAGTAATCAGCCTCGCCAGACACCCACGTGTCTTTTGTGGTCCTCATGTGTGACTCCTTTGACTGTATTAACAGAATTTATCTTCAGAGTATCAGATCTCTTCCTTGCTTCTTCATCCTTCGAAAGACGCGGGTGTCATCAGGAAGCAATGCCTAGCTCTTGGCGTCACACACCTGTTTCAAATGCCACCTCTACCAATGACTAGGAGGGACATTAAGCCCGTGGTTCTCAGTTGGTGGTGAATCTGCCCTTGGGGAGAACAGTTGGCAACACCTAGAGACAGCTGTGATTGTCACAACTTGGGTTGCTACTTGTATCCAGTTGGTAGAGGGCGGGGGTGGGGCACTGCTAAACACCCTACAATGCACAAGTCAACCACTACAACAAAGGATGATGTATCTGACCCCAAACTGCAGTATTGCTGCTGTTGGGAAACCTGCTTTAAGAAAACAACCCTTCTGAGCCTTGGGTCCGTTCCCTGTACAGTGAGGGTAACAGTGGTCCAGGGCAGTGTCGTGAGAATTATAGGCAACACTGTACTTAGAACACACACCATAACGACTGGCACAGAGCCAGCATCAAAAAACGGTAATTATTTTCTTAATTATTACCAGGCATTACATTGGTTACTCCCTAAGATGTTATTAGCTTAATACTAAAAAGGTAGTTCATTTACTCCGCAAATATTTTTTTGAGCACTTTCTATACGCTAGGCACTGATCTGGCTGATGCAAATAGATTAGTTAAAAGGAAAACAAGAAAACACACTCCAACTTCAGGAAGCTAACAGCCTGCAAGTAGGCACTGTGTTCCCATTTTGTAACTGAGAGAACCCAGGCCCTGCGAGGTTCAAGTAATGTACCCAAGGGTTCAACACTGATAAGGGGCAGAGCCTGGATTCAAACACCACCAGCTGCTACAGACTGAGGTGTCTGTAATTTGTGTCTCCCCAAATTAATATGTTGAAATCTTAACCCCCAATGTGATGACATCAGGGGATGGATCTGGGATTAGATCATGAGGGTGGAGCCCTCTCAAATGAGATTAGTGCCCCTCTAAGAAGAAACAGGAGACAGCTTGCTTCTCTCCATGTCACGTGAGGATACAATGAGAAAACGGCTGTCTGCAAACTAGGAAGTGGGCCCTCACCAGACACCCGATCTGCTGGTACCTTGATCTCGAACTTCCCAGCTTTCAGAACTGTGAGAAATAAACGTCTGTTGCTTAAGCCACCTAGTCTGAGCTGACTAAGACACCAGCTTTGCCTGATTCCAAAGCCTACATGCTTTCTACTCCATTATTATCAGACGCCTGCTTTTAGGAAAACCAGATTGCAAGGTGTGTGAGAATGGCAGATCTCACTTCGGTGCTGATTTTTATTTATTGTCTTAGCATCATCATCCACATACCCTCTAATTCTGCAGGATATGCTTTTTGTTCCTTTTCCCTTCTACTCTTCATTAATTTAACAAATGTTTATGGAGCACTTGCTCCTTGTTAGGATACAGCGGAGCTAAGACACACTGCCTTCGTCTGCAGAGAGCTCCGGGGCTGGTGTGGACGACAGTCCGTCTCAGCAAGTCTCGTGTGGGACCTGCAGCATCACCTTGACTTACCCTCAGGTGCATGAGGCCATGAGGCCACCTCCATGTCGGGACTGCGGATGTCCTTACAGGTATCTGTGCTTATTTATGTACCTCATCACATGCACAGTTAGCTTATCTGCACAGCAAAATTTTCCTTTGGTGAACAGAAAACTCTGGGTGTGACATTCATACATCTGAAGTTCATGTTATGCTTTTAGCTTGACACAGATTTCTAGCACAGTAGATACTTAGTTATCATAGAGGATTTGCCTTTACAATGTTATTTGTTCATGATCCTGAGGGTCCACGCCTCATTGCACACTGTAATTTTGCTGAAGAACCAATTTAATCACCTGACGTGAAATGCTGGTGAACAAGAGAGTGTTACTCATAGTGAGGGAACCTGGCAATCACCCAACATTCCTGTCAAACTAAAGAAATAAAGTCCATTGTTTCAAGTATGTTCACGGTGGATGTTACTTTAGGAATATCATAGTGCGGTGTCTTTAGGAATATCAGTGTACAGTGTAGGGTTTGTTTTGATGGAATCATTACAACCCTGAAGGAACACTCAGAATTTCCAATTATTCTTCGGTGCACTGTGGAATGCACGTGGCGGCATCTGGGCACTCAGCAACATCTCGGGTCCATGCCCTGTGGATGCTGAAGCCTCTGTCCCACTAAAATGCTGGCGTGTGTAAACAAATGATAATGGCATCACTTGACTCTCAGCTGCATTCCTTCTGGACCTTGGCCCTTAATGACAAGTTCTTTTGATCCGTTTAACCAGGGACTCTCATCAGAGAGACGCAGCTTCAAAACGCTACTCTACCACATACTAGCTGAGTAACTTTGGCATACTGACCATGCTCAGCTTTAGTTTCCTCCTCTGTAAAATGAGGGTAATAATCATAGGTCTTGCTTAATGGGATTGTTGTGACATTAAGTTGTCACATTTACACACATAAGACTTTTAGCACAATGCCTAAAACCGCAGGTGACCTGTGAGTCTGGGCGCTCTTTCCTTCTCCACTTCCACCCCACCGACTGAGCTACTGCCCCTCCTTCCTGCCTTTGTGGTGAGGATGCCGCCCTTTCCCGTGGGGCCTTACCTACAACTGTTTGCCCCCTGTCTTGCCTGGTGTCTTCCTGGTTCTAAGTCCTGGAATACTTTTCGCTCTTGGCCACTCTCTGACATGGGATGTAGGCCTTATCCCTCAACTGGTCAACCTCTGCTACCCAAATCTCCTTCTTCTGCCTTCCTCTTTCATTCCTGAGTCAACCATCGCAGAGGTTACAGCACAGTAGTCAGGAACAGAGACCCCGGTATCTGACTGCCCGGGTCCAAGTTTTGATTCCACCACTTAAATTGGTGGCCTTGGGTCTGTTATTTAACCTCTTGGTGCCTCCGTTTTTTCATCTGTAAAATGGAGATGATCACATTGACTATCTCATGGAATTGCTAGGAAGAGTAAATGAGTTCATGTATCTGAAGTGCTTAAAATGGAGCTTGGCCCATACAAAGTCCTATATAAGTGTCTTATTGTTACTTACTATTATAGGTTGGGTCCCCTGTTCCCTTCATTATCTGCCAGCTCCTCCCACCCCCATCTTTTAAAATGAGTGCTTTTAACGATTAATAACATTCTGATCACAAATTCACCTCCTCCTTGGCCAGCACATTACCCACCATCTGACTATTTCCACTTTGGGTTCACAATATACGTCCTCTTAGAAAAAAAAATTCATTGGCTTTACATTAATCATTTTAAAATGCTTAGCCAATCACATCTCTATGTAATCTAGATAGCACGAATGTGTAGTAAAGAAAAGGGCCAGGGTGGCTCTTAAAGGAACAGATCCCAGATCAAGAAGCCAGGAGCAGACACTCGGCTTCATACGTGTTTCAGTCTGTCACACACCACAGAACATGGGTTTCATCACCATCACTGACTTAGAGGCCTCCACCACCAATCACAATGTATTTCAAAGGCGAACTAGTAGCTTCAGAAAATTAGGTGAGCAATTTACCCCCAATTCTTACCTATAACTTTTCCTAGAAAGAGCGACTTGGGAGAATTGAACAGAGTGTCAGACGAACTTGGCAGGTGGTAACTCACAGAAGGATAATGATCCAGCTGCAGGAAGAAAAAGAGAGACACGTTTAGAAGAACGTCACCATCCTGCACCGGACTCAGATCTCCCGGGGGGGATGACATCATTCTTTGAACCTCAGTTTCTGGATCTTATTTCATCACTGCTGACTCTGAAATACCAGCCTGAGAAAATGGGAAGTCCATCCCTTCCTTTGCTGGGGTTATTGGAAAACAAATTGAGCTTTGGTAAGTGAAGACCCTTTACGAATTGTTCTCCAGCTTCTGCACATCTTCTGTGGATAATTTACCTGCTGGATTAAGATCCTTGCTCATTTTAACAAAGTGAAACCTGCTTGATCCAATCCCTAGTATCGACCTCTGAGATAGAAAATGCTACATCTATAGCGATGGACTTTCTTTAGGATCGTCTTACTGTACTGTTTTCTTCACCGTTTGGGTCTCTCAACTTGCACACAAATATTGATCTTCAGAATACATATATGTTCAAATATGAATATGAATATATTCATATATATGGATATGTAATTCAAATGCTGAGATTCAGGTTCATAGTTTTCTTGCTTGTCAAAACGAGGGTGATTTCTCCTTCCTGCCACAGGGCAGGGACATCAGAGCCTGGAGGGGACAAAGACACCTTTGCTCTAGCAGAGCTGTCTTTTCAGAGTGGAGCTGAGTTGGTAGCAGAGGGAGGAAAAAATGAAGCAGATGGGACTAGCTTACAGGTAATGCCTGTTGTAGCAATGCACATTTCTGATTACACTTCCCACGTAAAAGTGCAAGTGGTGGTGTCCCAGAATCACAGAGCTTCTCTTGTCCTTTGTGTCCCTAAGTGGCTTTTCTTGCCTTAGCTGAATTTTTACAACCCAAACATTGTGGTTGTGTTTCCCCAACTGTGAGCTCCTAGAACTTTCTGTGCTTCTGTGTACCCACATGTGAAAAGCCTCTCTTGTAACCTTTCGTTTTTCTGAAATGAGTTTAATACCTGCTCAGGTGAGCATAAGGCAAGGTGTGGGTCAGAAGGAAACACTGCATCCCTATCTGGCAGGGCCTTCCCGTGGGAACTGCACCAGGAAGCTACTTGCTGAAGGCAGTAGCACAGACTCCAGAAACTAGATCCACTCCCGGGTCTTGGCTCCTGACGGGCCAAGATGGGCAAAGCTGCAGGAAGGAGACCTGCTTCCGGGAAGGAGAGGGTGGCTGGAAGTGCGCGGGGAGGGAGCTAAACTCACTTGTCAAGAGGAGAATGAGTTACTTTGAGGAACGATGGCTAATTATTAATGACCGCCTACACCGGAATTTTGAGACTGTTTACTAGAAACCTCGAGGTTATTGTTACTCAAGGTTAACAGTCAAAGAATCATCATGTCTCAGGAATTTTGGTAGTTTTGACCTGCAGAATGGGTACTGTAAGTTTTTTTGTGCGTGGGTATCTGGTAGCACTGCGATAAAAGTCCAAAACACATGATTAAAGCATTCAGCGGCGTGTTCGACTATAATTTTGAAAAGCTTTCTACAATTTCAAGTGCATCGTTAACAAAACACTTATTCTGGCCAGAGAGTCTTAAACATTTTACTACTTTATTGTATTTTCTCTGGAGCAAAGGCAACTATTTCTGCTGCTAAATATTAACTAGCTGCTTTGGCGCCATCTGGTGGCACACATGCATAACTGCTGCGGTCCCTCCATCCACTTCTACTGCCTGTTGTCAAAAGGCTTCCGGAAAGTGCCGATATATCAATCATTAGTAAGCTACCTTACTATGCTTCAGTGATGATCTCCCCCTAAATACTTCTCATTTAATCTATTTTGTTAAATAACTTAAAAATGGATACAAAGAATATATATTCATTATAGAGAAAATAATAGATTTGCAGACAAAAATTTAATGTTAATTTTTTGTCTATTCTTTTGATTTTTTTCAAAAATTGGATGGAAGCCAACTACACATATTGTTTTGCATTTGCATTTACTTTTCATTACTTAACAATGTAATAGGAGACTGTTTCTGTGTCAATACACATACTACTAAATCATCCCTTGCAATGAATGATGGGTATTCCATTTTATGGATATATTGTACCCAATTTTTAAAAAATATCAAATTTCTCTGCTTAGACTTTTAGATTTCTTGTATCTTTGGGCCTAGGACAGTGCTGAGCACATAGCAGCTCCTCAATAAAAATGTGCTGATAACTCTTCCAGCAGCGGACACAGGTGAAATCAGTGCTCAGAGGTGGCCTGATTCACACAACAGAATCACCCTTCTTTTCCTGAACTGTTTCTAGGGACCCAGACGGGACAGAGTTGGCTTTTGGGCACATTTTGTATTATCTTTACTGAGCTCATGTAAAATAACGTTCCTAGTTTGTCTCCATAGGGTTACTTTCAGCTCTTCTCTTTCCTTCATAAATGCAGTTGGTGACTAGAACCAAAAGCTAAAATTTACATTTATTTGTACTAAATTTACTTCTTTTGTTTTGAAGCATAATAACAGCCTACTCAAAAGTTTTTGAATCTTGATTCTGTCATCAGTGATTCTGCCTGGTTTTGATTTATCTATAAATATCACAAACATGCCAAGTCTTCATTCGTTAATGAAGTCATTAATGAAAAAACGTTGGACAGGAATCTAAGTGGGCAATGATCTATAATTCTAATACAAATTACTTGTTCAGTTAGGAAAATCTTTTGGAGCAACTGACATAGAAAATATGACAAGTGCTGAAGATACACAGGAAGGCTTTAACGTTCACAAAGATCAAACTCTCGCGTCTGCGGTAATTCTGTACTAAAAGAGGAAAGCAGGAGAGCTACGAGGAAAGAAGAGTCTGGCTGACTTTTTCCTTCTCTCTCTCTCACACTCCCCCCTGCCTTGTGCTGAGGAGGAGGGAGGCAGGTGGGGTTGTGGGGACAGGGGGAGGTGGAGTGAGGGCACGGCAGGAAAGGCAAGAGCAGCTCGGGGGCCTTGAAGACGTGGCTCCGTGAAGGACCCCGGACTCTCTGGGGTACGAGCCACGGGATGCGGGCGCCCTCTAGAGGCTGAAAAAGGCAAGGACCTAGATTCTCCCCTCACCGCCTGGGGTGCGGGGGGGAACCAGCCCTGCCAGCACCTGAGCATCAGCTCAGTGATACTAATTTTGGATGTCCGGCCTCCAGAGCCATAAGATAATAAACTGGCGTTACCCTAAACTTGTGGTAAGTTGTTACAGCAGCAGTAGAAAACTAATAGAGGAAATTAAAAAAAAAAAAGAGCCGTGCCACCAAAACCATGGCTGAACATCACCTTCTCCCAGCTCGGTTCTCAAATAATAGCTCTAGTCCTGTTTCACTCTTCCTGCCTCCCAGACGAAGGTTGCAAAGCTGCCCGATTCCGGAATTGCCCTCGCTTTTTAGAGCACCCAATCCTGCTTTCTGGAATCCTCCCAACACAAGCCCCATCCTCTTCCCATCTCTCGCCCAGTGATATCCCCATCGTGGTTCCTGGTATGTGACTCTCTTTGTGCCAGTAATCCATTCATTGCCTCCTGGCTCCAATTCACCCTTCAATATCTGCTCTATGATAAACACGAATTCCTTTAATCTCCTTTAAAATGAGCAGGATATTAAACTTTCTCAGCCCTGGAGGGAAGAAGGGGTTCCTGGAAATTTCCAGTGCTGGCTTGGGGGCGGGGAGGTAGTGGAGGTTCGGCCTAGGGTGTGAGGTCTGCCCAAGCCACAGGCCCAGAGCAGGACGCCTCCGTGAGCCTACGGCCTGATGACCCTCCGTCTCCCCTGGAAACGAGAGCCCCTGTGCAGCCCTGCATGGCCTGCATGCTCTGAAGCCCCCTGCCCCCAGCTCCCCAGCCCCACCCACACACACGCTGGGTCCCTGCTTCCCCACCTGCACTCCAGACAGTGGCCTTGTGCTGGCCCAGAAACCCCAGACCAGTTCCAGCCCCGCCAAACCAGAACTTCTCTGCTCTCTGTGGCGGGCCACGGCTTTTCCCACGACGTCTGGAGCCCCCATGCTGGTCCTTCTGTGGGTCTCCTCTCTCAGCCCTGATGCTTCTAGCAAACTCTACAGGGCTTTCCTTACATCTTGGAGGTTTCCTTTATTGCAGTTAATTTTTGTATCAGGAGCCTAGTGAGTTCTAAGCAGTTTCTATCGAATCCTGTTCTTAATGGTTGTTTCATTCTTTTAATGGTTATACTCTCCCCCCTTCCTTCCTGTCTCAGAAGCAATGCCTTCCCAAGGCTCTTCCTCTGCTACTGTACATTTTAGACTCTTTCCATTTGATTCCTAGAAGCCAGTGCTCAAATGAGAATTTCTTCAGTCAGGGTGTCAAAAAATCAAAGAAGTTGTGTAGCAAGTCCAGGCTGCAGTGCAAGCTTCCTGTCACTTAGACCTTAAGCACAGTGTATCCCATGGTATCCTGCATGTCTCTGATTATCTAGTTAATCACTTTTAAAAGTGTAAAGATGGGAGGGACCTTCAAGATGGCAGAGGAGTAAGACGTGGAGATCACCTTCCTCCCCACAGATACATCAGAAATACATCTACACGTGGAACAACTCCTACAGAACACCTACTGAATGCTGGCAGAAGACCTTAGACTTCCCAAAAGGCAAGAAATTCCCCACGTACCTGGGCAGGGCAAAAGAAAAAAGAAAAAACAGAGACAAAAGAATATGGATGGGACCTGCACTTCTGGGAGGGAGCTGTGAAGGAGGAAAAGCTTCCACACACCAGGAAGCCCCTTCACGGGCGGAGACTGCGGGTGATGGAAGGGGAAACCTTCAGAGCCACAGAGGAGAGCAGAGCGCAGCAACAAGGGTGCGGAGGGCAAAGCGGAGAGATTCCCGCACAGAGGATCAGTGCCGACCAGCACTCACCAGCCCAAGAGGCTTGTCTGCTCCCCCGCCAGGACAGGGAGGGGCTAGGAGCTGAGGTTCTGGCTTCAGTCGGATCCCAGGGAGAGGACTGGGGTTGGCTGCGTCAACACAGCTTGAAGGGGGCTAGTGCGCCACAGCTAGCCGGAAG